GGACTTTAACCACTTAATAGAAAAATTGAAGATATATGAAGTTTAATGAACTAAAGTTAAAAACAGTTTCCAGTTAAGTCATTAGAAACCACCAGTAAAGCAGAACAATTACATGATTTATACAGGAGAAATATTGCAATTCACACTGAACAACAAACAAAATATATGTAATGAGCATAATAATTAAGTGTATTCGTTTCTATGGTGTTTTTAATGAGTTCTAAGAGCCACGAAACTAAAGAATCCACAAATCTAGAAATTTTAAGGGAATTCATTGGATTCAGATCAGAACAAAACGCTGCTTTAAAAAAGCATCTAGAAAGTCAGTCGGCATTTCTCGCGTCTTCTAAAATGATTCAGAACGAATTGCTACAAAATGTGTTAAAAGTTTGTCAAAGATGTTAAGATGAAATCAGGAAAGTCATTTGACTGCTGCATCCTTGTTCATGTCTGAAAATTTTATAGTTTCAGATTCTAAATTTCCAGTAGAAACATTGACGACTCCTGAAGCTTATAATTTTCGACCCTCAGTATAAAGACGTTTCTAAGGATCAGCATGTCACCAGACAGATTATCTGCACTGGTCTTGCTACCACTAGAAAGGATCTCATAAGTAGCTGATTTAATCAGAAAGTGACTAAAAATTTGCGCATCCGAAAGGAAGATGTATGAATTTCATATTGAAGAAAATGAGAGCTTAGCTTTAATATTGCTCATTAATGTCTAAGTTAAATAAAAATGTACTTTAAATTTTGAAGTAATAATTATTGCACAAATATATTCCTTTAAGAAACGAAGTTTTGAATATGCTATACGAATTTCACTTTAAGGGAGAACGCTCATGAAAAATTACATATCTTTTATTATTGCAATGCATACTAGGGCAGTGAAATTTTCGAAATAATTTTATTTTGTTATCACTAGTAACGGCAATAACAAAGATCATAAAATGAACTAGTACAAACCGTGTCCAAACAAACAGTGCTTGTTGCAAAGTTGTATTACCGCCAATTGTCTTAATGCAGAACTAACACAAAACTAGAGTGCCCACTGAAAATCAAAGCCAGAACCACGTGTGCGGGAGGTGAACGTACCTGACACAGGCACTTCGGTCAAACTTATGAAACTAACGGTTTTATTCGACTTAGTTTTAATTAGTGTGAATTGCTTACATTTTATTACACATTTGTGTTCTGAATTTTGGAAATTACATTCTCAACGCTCGATGAAGCTGAATCTCCCAATTTGATGGACACGAGCCAGCACTGCTTGACACCTTTCACCAATGTTTCACACACGCAGGCTCAGTCGAAGATGGTGGCATTGTTGTCCTGTATTTTTTTCCAGAAATGCTTCTTTCTCGGCACACGTTGAGAGGAATGATGGGGGTGAATTGATAGTTGTGACTGTACGCTTTTTTCCTAGTATGTTATCAGTACGTTGCAACACATAAGAATCACAAAGTCAATGTTTGATATTGGTAAAGCCAGTCTGGATTCTGTTGACTGTTTATTAAGAAATCAGTTCCCGTTTTCGGAAATTCTGAATCATATTTCATTGATTGTTGTTCATATTTCAATGAATCAGAACTGTAAGCCAAATGAGCACAGAAATTCAAAGAAAACTATGCAGCATTTGGTCATGTTTATAGACATCAGGAACTCGAAAAAAATCCAAAACCAACTATATTACTAATTTTTAATGCACACAGGAACTGAAAGAAAACTATGTACCCTTCGGTTTTGAAAGGTGTATGTGGTTTCATTACATAGGTAGCCACGATCTCGGGAAAAATATGTTGGTCACACATCTGTGTCGCAAGTAAAGTCGCACTTAATATGATAATACAGTTGGCAAGCGCAAAATTAAACACGCGGAATAACACAATCATTTTTTTTCAAATCGAAAGCGTTTAATAGTTTTTGAATTTTCTAAAGTTCTTACGTATCTAACAATACTATCATCTCTCGACATGGCGCGATGGCTGCAGTTTTCTTCGAATTTCTGCGCGCATTTCAATTAGTAACACAGAATGCACGTAATATAGGCTAATTGCCAAATTGTTTCGCTCTCCAGCAAGGACCTCATACATGAAGAAATAGCTGCCATCTGTTCACACGACAACACGAAACAACAGTCAAATTACGATCAGCACTCTGCCATCTGTGAACGAAATCAGCACACAGAAATCCGCCATTACTACCCATACGCTATTAATACAAATAAACAAGTGAGCCAAATTTTCTCTTTACATAAACAGGCTTATACTTTTTTGTTCTTTTTTTTTTTCTTCCTACGAAACCACGTTGAGGTGAAGTGAAAAAATGCACCTATAGAATGAATTGAGCTTTATTTCCTAGTCACGTGATATCTTATTTCCACATTGTACGGTTTCGGCCCGAGTTCAAACTTTTACCGTTTTTCTGAAAAGTAGAGGTGAGGCTGGCAGAGAGTTAACTCGGACTATACCAAAGCCGCAGTCTAAGCACGGAAAATAATTATTGCTGGCTGAAAACACTTCTGCAGTTTATGTAGTAGTATAATATACCGGAACACTTTGAAATAATGCGAGAAAGTCTGTGCTGTTGTAACATCACTTAGTTTTTCAGCGTCTTCCTTCAAATTCAATATTGAAGAGATATTTTTTATTCCTTTATGAAATCTGTTCTTTAAAAACAGATTTGGAAATAGGTCCTGTACAATTTTTGTAACTACTATTGCAATACATGAAGAGAATATTTAATTTGTTTAAACATTTTCCCCCTCCAAAAGGGCTTCATTTCTCTCCCTCCAATTTTCTCCTTTTATCTTTGAAAAAACTGTATAAAAAAGGTGATGAGAGATTTTTGCCTTAAAATGTTCTAATAAGTCATTCTTTAAAAAAAAAAGTCGTGTACAATTGTTTACAAAAAACGAGTACTTTTCGCGTAATTTATGCTTGAAATTAATGCAATTTACAAACTAGTGGAGCTACAACAGCGAATACTTTCACGCATTATTTCTCAATTTGTAATTTTTCGAAATTAAGGAAGTTCAACAAAAGTTAGACCTGTACCATTCTTTTAAGCATTCCTTGTTTTACCTAGGACATAAGCAAGGTTCCTTGGAAGTTGCCTTTGAAGGAGTTACAGCAGCAACATTGAAGCTAAGAAGCACCAAAATAGTTTTTGCTATGACCACCAGTGCTGGCGCTAGGCATGGGCAGACCAGGTAATCACCCAGGGCCCGATGTTGGGACTGATGAGGGGGGAGGGGGGGAATAGTAAACAATTGAAAAAAGAAATTAGAACTTAAAAAATCATAAACATAATTTTATAAGTCGCTGTACAATTGTCTGATACTTCAAGACATTTTCAATTAATTTTTTACCTTCAATATTTCATTATGGTCATTATTTATGTGGTAGGACTTCATGAACTGAATCAAATGATGCTAACATCAAAATAGGTTCCACTGAAATTCATTTTCGTATTTCCTGTGTTTAACGAGTGATTTTATTAAACAGTAACTAAACACGATTTTCTTTTACCATATTAAGATCACAGTAGAAATTGTATAATTGGATCACTTCCTTTATTGAAAACTATTATTCAAAATATGTTTCCAAAAGAATTTTATAGCTTGAAACATTGTAATTTTTGTTACTTGTTGAAATAAAATAACTCATGGTTTCTTGATACAAATTTTTAATTTTTTAAAGGGGGATGATCTACGTTCCAGCATTGCCCCAGGCCCAAAATTGTCTAGCTCCAGCACTGATGACCACTATGCATGATAAAACTTCTATTGAATAATTTTCCAAGAAATATGATATAGTAATATGATTCTAATGTACCCACAAATCTAAAAGTAGAAGACATATTAGACCAAATGTGCAGAAAAAATTCAGTTGTAGAAAAAAGCAAAAAGATAATCCCTTTTCATGTTCTACATTCTCAAGTTGGCATAGGTAAATGCAAACAATAGGTACATTAATCCAATTTCGAAGAGAAAACTAGAATGCTGTTCCTTAAAAGGAGATATTGATCTTTTTGCAAGAATTTATTTGTAGGAAAAATCAAAAGGAACTGTGTCCACTCTTCCTCTTTACGATTTCCCTTAAACTATTTTGTGTACTTCAATTTTCTTCTTTTTGAGCACAATTCTGTTAAAATTCTTGAAAGCATGTTTCATATAAACAAACACTGCATAAAATGGTCTTTGAATATTATTTTACATTGCATTTTGAACATCCCTTTAAAAAAAATAAGGATACAATCACAAGAGGTAATCACCAAATATTTCCTTCACATTTTAAATACTAATGACAAATGTGAGAATATTTAACTCAAAGTTAGTATGCAAGGGTATAGAATATAATTGGTATTCTACGGTTAAATATAATGCATACATTAGAATTGAACTGAAAGTTCCCTTCAAAGGAATCAAAATTCTCTACATTGAAAAGATACATTAAAATATTGTAGCAATAATAGTCATTCTTAGTCTTAGAAGGTATCAAATTGGTGGAACATAAAACTTTTATCACCTATAGAATCATCATGAAATCCTTGTGACATTGAATATGATGTGAAGTGGCGATACCTATGGAAGAAATTCAGAAGATAAAACAAAAATCAGGTATATCAAGGAACAGATACAAAGAATTTGATTAAATCCCTACAAATAAATTCAGAACAGAACAGAAAACCAAATTTTGAAATATTATAAGAAGAAAGAGGAATTTATGAGAAGAATGTTGCATTGAAGATGGTCCAAAAATGTCTCAATATTTCGCACTAAATAAAGAAAACTTTAAAATTAGAGCCTATAAGCCACACTTCATAGCAAAATAATCCTTTATTGGATAGACAGAGCTTTAAACTAGGCAAGCTGCAGTAACTACTTAAAGAAAGAGAAACTGAAGACAAGTAAATTATAAATATTTTGTTGTTCATAATTGAGAAACATATTAATTAAAATACGAAAAGCAGTTTCACTTCCACAACATAAATATGTGCCCAAAATTCAAAATATTACAGGTTTGTTGGTCTATTTCTTGAATGGGCATCACAAAGAGCACATGGAAAATAAAAGATTATTTATGAAGATGTGCACTGAAGAGAAGAAAAATGTTTTATTACCTGAACACATTCTCTATACATATTTACACAAAACTTGAGTCACATATCAAAGGTCACACCAAAACACGAAGCAATGGCACGGGGTAAAATATCACTCTCTGGTACAACGGAGGTCAAGGGAACACATTCACTAGCTCCGATTGCAAAAATGTCACTCAAAGCAGGTCATTCTGAGAAATCATGGATCACATCTGTCACCTGAAGTTCCTCCATTCGCTCTTTATAAATCAGGTACTGAATCTTTGTTTGAATTCTAAGAGATCGAACAATATTCATTTGTCTCAACTGACCAGCAACATGACGACCAAAGAGATCAAATTCATCTTCGGGCAAAGGTTCCGGAGGAGGTTTTGGAATATTTTCTAATTTTACATTTGTACCACTGTCGCTATCTTCGAGTTGTTGCCATTTCTTCTTTGGTGGACGGCGCACATTTGTGGTGATGTCAGGAGACTGATAAGCCAAGTGTGGTAGAATCTCATCAAAATTCGAATCTGGTGGCAACTCTATAACCTGCAATTATCAATTGGTTTTCACATAAATGATGACATGTTGAATCAGAAGACACATTGTTCCAAAAATTACAAATTTAAAATACAAGAATAGTATACATAATCCTCAAACTCAAATCTCATTTTCTTCACAAAAATACTGATACTGAATTGGTAGATTTTTTGAAGAAGCAAATAATACACATCATAAACAGCAAATAAACTACTTGCATGAATAATCCTAGAATCAAATATTTTAAGAAAACTTGAAAATAATTCCTCTTCTCTTAAATATATTTACAAAGCATTTGCATGTAAATACCACAAAACTGTGAACCTCTAAACTTTATAACAAATATATACCCTAATTGAAGCCCTAATTAATTTTTTGCATAACTTTTAAAATACGGTCAAGAAAACAACTTTTGAAAACTGGTAATGATACAGTAAATTCCTTTCAATTATTAACATCCATATCATTAGGCATCATTATTTTCCCCATCTTTCCTATTGTATTCTCTTTTGTTTAAAAATCTGAAGTGTAAGGCATTATTTTCAATACCTAAGATTTAACCTTATAGTACAAGTATATCTATTGATTTAGGCTTCAACCCACACATTCCCACTGGATTAATTCATGATTTACGAAACAACCACCATGGAAGTAAACAATGTGATTTGAAACGTTCTTCAATATATTGATTGTTGATTGGCACATATTGATTTTTATTCAAAAATGTACACTTCAACATAATAAACATTTGCAAAATTGTTTTCAATCCTGAGACTCACAAAAGAATGCATTTCTAAAAAAAAAATAAAAATGGAACATGCCTTTTGCATAAAAGTGTGGGATCCCATGAAACGGCACAATTGATCCTCTGCATGCTGAAGGACAATTAGCAATGGAATCAAATAAAAAACACTCTCAAAACACTGTATATCAAACATTAACCAAAACAACAAAAATTAAACCTCAGAAAGCTGATTATTACTTCTCAAAACAAAAGCTGTATTTCACAGATTCATTTTAATAGAGTTGCCATTTTCTTTCTGGAAAACATTTCCAGCACACTTTTTAAATTCTCTCTTCTGGAATGTGTAAATAAGTTTACACTCTTTAAAGAAAACATCAAATATAATACACAAATTTAAAAGAAAAAAACAATGATTCGTATTCATTATTAATTTGTCAGCTCTTATTTCACTGTGAAGAAGACTTCTTGCTTAACAAATAAAAATTGTACCAATACACATTGCACTAATGTTTCTAAGGAATAATATCAAATTTTAAAATAACCTAAAAAATGTCCCTGATGTTTTATAATTTTCCAGAAAGTTCACTATCAACAATATTTTCAAATACATCAAACAATGTTTTGCAATAAAAGGATGAAGACACTTTTAACCCTATGACAGTTTGGTGGGGTGTTGAGCATCCCATTCAGATTCACATTTTGTATATTTAGGAGCCTTTCATTTAGCTCTTCTACATTCCTTCTTGATTTTTAATCTTAATCACAACAATGATACTCTTCCTCTGAAACTTCCTCAACAATTTATAATTTTTTTTCTATTGGAATGATGGGACCTGGGGTGATATTTCCAAAAATGCAAGTTCATTGGACACTGTCCTTTTTCAAAAGACAGAAAAAACAAATTAATTTTTAAAAAGTGTTATTTCTTGTGTTTCTTCTTCTGCTCGAAAAAGGCAGTTCCTTTCAATGAATACTATAACTGTAAACAAAACTGTAAAGAATGTACCCTGTAATTACTTCATAATTATTTCAATGGGTAAACTTTATTAAGTTTCAAAGCATTTATTGTCAGTTTAGTAGCATTAAATGGTAATATGACAATTACTTCTCTTGAAGTTTTGTTAGTTTTTGTTCTCATTTGTTACATTTAAATCACTTTAATAAATAAATACTTAGAGATGTGGAGGGCAATAAACTCTTCCAGACTAATTGTACTTTTGTACCAAATTTTACATAGGGGCAATGTCATTCAACATTAATATTTCATAAATTTTTGTGTGTGAACTATCACAACATTTTTCCCATTGTTCTATTCTCCACTGATGTTTTACAAGTATCATTAACTGATGAACAAATTTCTAGAAATTTCAATTCATTCAAAAATTCACAAATTACACTTGCTTTAAAATAATACTGAAAAATAAATGCAGAGCAAATAAAATCCAGCAATTTTTTCTTACACGACACACCAGAACACATTCTGAACTAGTTGAAATTTAATAATCAAATCAAATATTCTCTTCAAAAACTATCATGAAACAATTTCATCATTATATGATTTAAAGACTGAAAATTTTAACCTTTTTTTAACAACCACAAAATACATTAATTCCCATTCGAAATTTTGGGTACTTCAACTCAAATTAGTACTTTGTAAATATTAGAAAACTCAAGTTCAAATGTTAGTAGCTTCATGCAAAGAAAATGAGTTAATGCAGGCATGAAAGCAAAATTAGAAAAAAAGTATCCAAAACAACCATTATTAGCTGACCAGAAGAAATAAGCTGAAGTTAAATGTATATCACGACCTTTCTTGAAGCCTTTTTCATTTTATTATGCATGAAGTGTAGGTAACATCACAAAAACAGAAACTAGCAACTTAAAAGAGATTACTCAAACAGTATTAAAACTTACTAAAACCGACTACAGATTCAAACAAAAGCTTGTTAAATACAAAACATATTTTCTAGAGCATTACATATTTACACACATCTTCAAGAACCAAAAAGATATGAAGCCATCCTTGGAAATTTTCTCATGCAATAGCAGCAATACTTTCATAAGTTTTCTTTCTTTTAATCTATGATAAAAAAAAAAGTATGAAGAGATACTTGCTTCACTAATAAGGTTGCTTGTAGACGCTCGACCTTCAGTAGTCCCTTTCAATATAGCATCCATTTCTTTAAACCACACCAAATTTGGTTCATATTGTTCCTCTGGACTCGATCCAAATTTTCTTGATTCCCTGTGTTTCTTCAATTCTTGTAAATAAGTAGATCTTAAGTTTTTAATTTTATTTTTTACTTCAAAAAGAGTTAAATCAAATCTGTCCCTTAAATCCTGATATGCTGCGTCCCTAGCCTCCCTATTTTTGTAACTTTCTAAACTAGTGTCCCACAAACACGGGTGAGATCTGTAGACACGGATAAAATTTATAGTTTTATCCTCTCTCCATTTGATAATTGGCTTCTTCAACACTTTATTGCTATCTTCAAAGTGCATTTCCATGTTTTTGGAATGATATTTGAGAGTTAAATATCAGACACTATTTGAAATGTACATACAGATGCAGAGGAATATACTTCCAAACTCTTGTAGCAACTCCATTTAACCAACAGTCTTCAAGTGCTAGTGTAGTCATGACAAAATATGTCACTGCAAAACAAGGACAATGCATCATACTTGCAAGAATGTGATTCTTGAGAGATAATTGTTATAACATTACACTTGGTAAACAAAACAATGTAATACAGTGACATTAGAACTTAGATTAGTACAATTCAGAACAAATGTAAAATAAGAAAACCAAAATTAACCTCTATCTGAATATTACAAAAGATACAGGAGACAACTACAAAAAACACAAATAACACTTTAGAATCAACACAAATTTTCTATTGTTAACTTAAAATATTCATTAGAGTTCCTTTAGAAGAAATTGACAAAATCTAACAAATATTATATTTACCGGGTAGACAAATCAAAAACAAATCCAATATAAAAATTTGAAAAGCATGTTACTTTCCTCATCTTAGCATCATAATAAGTTGAATGAGAAAACTGTATTTATAATAATATATTACAAAGGAAAACATTTCTATTCCAACAGGAAACAGTTCAGAAAACAAATTTCTTTAGAACCCATTTCACATACGTTAATAAAAATATTTATAAAACTAGCAAGAAAACGGAGAGCAGCCATTCAGGGGAGGAGAGATTAACTATAATAATAATAATAATAATAATAATAATAATAATAATAATAATATAGTAGTAGTAGAAGTAGTAATTGTAATATCAACACATAAAATTTCATATCCACTATTCTCAAAATTACATTTAGGTCAAAAAAATTTTTAAAATATAATATTTCTGACTTAACTCAATGCTAACGTATGGTAAATTATATAATTAGGTCTGGGTAGGAACTTCCAACACCTGACATAAATGTAGCCTACCATCTCTCAACAAGAACCACATAAATTATGCACGATAATATGTATTAATAATAAGATTTCTTCCAAGATTGTAACCAGATGGTCCAAACTAAGAGTATTATTAATCACAATAATTCAATTCTTGAAGTTATGCGCTTTGCATAAAATTTGGGAAACACAGAATAGCTCAAAATAATTTAAATATTAATCCTGACCTTTGCTAAATTTTTAATGCATTGCTAATGTTTTGTTTAAAGCCCAATAAAAAATAACAAATTCAAACAATTAGTCTCTTCCTCAACATGATGCATGAAGATGATAAAAATGCAACATGAAACCTACACGCAAAAATGAAGTTTGATTTTGGCAAATTCAACTGTTTAAACAAATTGAGCTAGGGATTCAGTGCTTTTTCCAACAACAAAATTATTTCTTATTAGTAACATTTCCAAATTTTTATTGATTGTATGTTTGTTAAAATATATTATAAAGATGTCATAATGTGGTTTTCATATTAAAATTAATTATTTATAGAAAGAAAATTTGTTTAGATTATTTCAAAGCCATTCTGCAGAGAGAAGCACAAAGATTTAAAAAATATAACAACTACATCTGCAAAACACAGCAAATAAATTATATTTAACAAAATAAAAAACATGAAAAAATATGAATACTATAGGATTACTTTCTTTTATTCTGCGAGTCTTTTTCACATCTTAGCAATTTGAGCATTAAGCATTTATACATATAAGGTGTAATCCTACATTATACTTTGTCTTGTATCTTAATGTCGCAGTCAGTTGGCCTTTTTCCCTTCAGCCAGGTACTCAGCTACTTTAAACTTATTTTTCAAAACACGTACAAAGTAGTTTCTCACGAAAAATATTTGTACAAAAATATACATAGAACCCACCTCTTAGCTTAGAAGTGAAAGAGTTTTATCTCCAAAGTCTCCTTGCACCAAAATGAAAATAAAAGTTGGGAGTCACACTTCATCATTGATGCAATTATATTACACCTAGAAACAAATTCAAATCATGTGGACAGTAGGCAACAAACACCAAATAGTTTGTGAGTGGATAAAAATAACTCGTGAATCCTATATCCTTTTGTAAAATTGTCAGTCAAAATTATACAGATCTGATGACAAACCTTGGATACATCTGTTTCTCTATCATTACTTGAAATGTTTTGACGTTCCATTTCAAAAACACCATTAATACATTTGATATTTCCATTCTGATTTATATTTTGCAGTCATTTTGATAGTTTAATAACAGAATTTTCCAGAAGGCAAATATTAAACTGATAAATACAATTTAAAAGTTTAATCTAATATTTTTAATGGATGCACATTGATTCCAAAGGGAGAAACTCAAAAATGCCTATAGGTTTCCTAATGCAGTCTTCTCTTTTTCTTATTTATTAACTCTCTCCCCAAAAAACTCAAATTGCTGTCATTAAAATTACCAACACAAACTTTAAACACTAATAAAAATAATAATGGTATCAACTTTTATTAACTCAATTTATATTATGAACATTCAATTCATCTCAGAAAACCAATTTTGTTTTTTTAACCCCTCTTCAAATAGAAGTAGAGGAAGCAACCCAGCAACTAGTCAATTCACTACAATTAACATTTTCCTGAGGACGGAATTTTAAGACGAAGGCATTCTTGAATTTATTTAATTAAAGCTAAGATACTGAAATAACTTCTTAAGCCTTCATACAAATTTGTGATCCATTGCAGTAGCTTAATTATGTTCTTTTCATGCTGACACAAGTAAACTAAATCTAAAGAAATGTGCCTATCTTTTTGATATATTAATTTAAAGAGAAAATCCTGATCTGAATGGCCCTATTGCTATTTCCTGTAGCTCAATGGAAAGTCATAGATAATATTCCAATGATATTTAATTTCAGCTGTTAAAAGCTAAGTAAGTTATGCAAGTATTGCCTCAAATTAAGCTTGGCTATAGTTAAGATATTAATATATACGCAAAACTATTTGATCGCATGATCACAAGAAAGATCTTTAAATGCAAATTCCATATTTCGTTTATTTAAACATCCCCTGAAACGTGCAAATTTCAGGGGTACAACAGGTATCATGCATAATAATTATTAGAAAATATTGTAATGTATTCTGTAAATTCTTTATATTTTCCAGCAACTTCTTTAGATACAATTCAACTAACATAAAACAGAATAACCATGTTTCAACATTTTAAAGTCCCATCTTACATTGAAATGTAATTGCTATAAGAATTACTCTTTTTAAACCACTACACTAGAATTTCCAAAAGGTCACTTTTCAATAATCATTGAAAAATATAAATATCACATCTTTTTTGTGAGCAAATTATCTTATGCTTGAGAAAAAGATAAAAAATATCACAGCAGATTCCTCAAATGGTTTAAATACCAAATGTAATAACACTTTTATTTTCATGACAAATTTAACAATGTAATACATAGAATACATTTTAACTGTCACCTCCAGGCATGAAATTTGGATCAAGATAATTATACGAACAACCAGGTTCTGAAAAGGAGGGTGGTAAATAATCTTTGTCGTATCTTCTAACTTTAGTCACTCCGATTTCCTTTACAGGAATAATATTATGTGATAAAGGATGTGGATTGGAAGAATCTAATTGGGCAACCACACAATCTGTGCAAAAATCCACAGCAGGACACACAACACAGGTCCACAAGACACCAGTGATTGGCTCATCATTACAAAAATCACATTTAAAACCAATGTGTCTCAAATGATGATAATCATTTTGTTCCTTCACTTCAAGAACTTTACGCAACAAATCCAGTTTTCGAGAACTCTGGATATTCTTAACTTTCTCATTTGCAACACTGTCTTCACAGCCACTGATTAAATTTAAACCACCACTTATTTCCGTTTTCACGTTGAGGTCGTAGAAGGAAGTGCTAGGAGACTGCACTACAGAGGATGTATCTTCCAGTTCTGCTAAAGGCACAGGAACATCTTGACTGGGGAAGAATGTAGTTGGGCGTGAAAAACGTCGTTGATACGGATAAGCCGATCTTTTCCCCAATTCAGCTTGTGCATGAGCTTTTGGCGCTCGCCCTGGCACTGGCAGGCCTGCCTTCTGCAATTTCAGGAAATATTTCTGCACCCTACTGCACACTTGCTTTGCTGTCCTGTTACCTAATTCAGCTGCTATCTTCCTCCACCTATTGGTTTCCACTTCTTCTGGAGGATATTTAATCAACAGCTCTTCTAAGCGTTGCTGCTCCTCAACAGTCCACAGTTGATTAAATGTTTCGGGTTTACTTTCATCAAATACTCTCCCTCTAACAAGCATTTTGGATTTTGTTGGATCATGTGATGCAGTATCTGTTTTCGGCATTTCTGCTGATGTCTTATTGACATCTGCGTTAGGAATATTATATTGATTCCAATCAATATTAGGCATAGGAGGAATTATCTGTGGCTCAGGAATTTGAATGGTTCCATTTGTTAGCATTTCCACAAATTTTATAGGATTTTCTTTAACTTGTTTCTTCAGAGAAATTATTGTATCTATATCCTTCAGGGCTCTGTATCTTTGAGCTTCTAATATTGCCACAGTTTTCAATAGCTCACGATAATCTTTATTATTTTTTAAAGCAACATGGTCAGATTCAAAATAAAATTCATCCTCACCATCACTATTCACACTGTCATCACTTTGAACATTGGAATTTACACTGGACTGGCTGCTTTCACCAAGTTTCTCATTCAGACACACATTTAGAAATGGAAACTCACTCATATTGAGAATATAGTTGACTTATAAAGTAAAGAATATTTTAAACTTATGTTTACCAACTAACATGAATTCTATATAATCAAAACAAAGCGCACTGCCCTCCTGAAAATGCAAGCAAAAAATTTCAAATCTTTCACAGAATCTTTTTGGTACAATACTTGAAGCACAATAATACAGATATTCAATCCTACAGCATAATAACTGTGTTGGAAAGATTGTTGAAACAAAGTGTTCACAAAAATAATATCTGAACTTTCATATGATATATATTATAATGGTACCAACATAACATAATGAACAGTCATATTCCTCATAACTACTTTCACTATTTTTCACTACACCAACTTACTTGGAGATTCACACCACTTCAAGTTGTCTCCAAGCCGTCGTCGGACAAATCGGCAAATGCCTTCACAATTAAAGCCCTTCAAGGTGCAACTAAAACAAATTGGAAAACACTATCATCATTGATTACAAAATACGAAGGGAAAGAATTGTTTAAAAGTTTATGCACTGTCTGCGTAACATCACAAGACTTTCACTCACAGATTATATACTGGTGATTATTGCACCTGGCGGTAACGGCAACCCACTTCCATTAAATTGAAAAGGAGAAACAAAGAAATTTCCGGGAATAATCACTCAAGTTTTTTGAAAGCTACTTAAAGGAGTCAAGTAGCTTCATCAATCTTCGAAATGTATACTCTAACGAGCATTATTGATAATCATTTACTTCACAACCAGTTCACAACTTTGACAGGTTCTTCGCCATTGCTGGCATCGCATCCACAAGTTTATGGGCGAAGCGTAGCGGTCATCTACGTTGCTTTCACTGATATTTTTTCTTCGTTTTGTTTTCCAATGTAACACCTCTTAAAAGATTTCAATAGGTCCTTCCGTACCTGATTTTTGAATATAGACTCAAGAAAATATTTTAGTTTGTTAAGCGCTCAAGTGTAAACAAATGAAGGAATGATGATTCCTACAGAAGGAGCGAATTATGAACTTCTCTTGTTCGCCGACGAATAATCAACTTATTTTCATTGAGACAAGATACGTAAAGATATTCACAATACGATTCGAAATTTTTGTACGGGACATTACATGCATCTACTATTTTCGCTCCAAGCAGTAGCTAATTAATGTTATTTAACATTTTCCAATATTACCACAAATGTATGATATTGTTAGAACTTTCGATACAAATACTTAACTTCGGAACTATTTTATATCGTAACCTAAACTCTGATACATTAATGATGGAAAATTCAAAATCAGCACACAATCATCACAAAGAGTTGATTTTTAAATTATTCAACTAAATACAAAATAATATTTACAAATAAAGAGTTTTCACAGATTAAAAAGCAGACATGTATTTAGCCTTTTTTCTGCTCTAAGCCACTACTCTGCACTAAGCAATTTAAAAAAAACAATCTATAACGAGGGGATTTATTACAAGCAGTTTCTTTTTACAGTTAATATTATATAATGTTTTGTTTACAGGTAAAAATGGAGTCTGCTGTAAAAAATTAATGTTTGAAGACTTCAATTTCAAGCATTGAAGTAAATTTAGGACATTATTCTGCTTTATTTTCACTATATTTAAACTAACTTAAAAATTAATTAAAAAAACAAAATATGTTAGTTCACACATTTACTGGAAAAGGAAAAAATACCCTTGTAGATATCTATCAAATAATTTAGTGGAAAAAAATTGTTTCAATGAAAAAAAAAACATAACTATAAAGCATTCTGAAATCTCAACTTTGAAAATGTAAAATGTGTCTCGTACTATCTCAGAAACTTGACTAAAATTTTTACAAGCATACTTTCATAGTAAAATATTACTATTAATTACGCTTCAAATTTCAATTAGTGCTTATTCATAATATTCTTAAAGAAGTTGAGTGATGTAAATTTTAGAAAGTTCTTTTAATTGCTCTAAAAGATTTTTAATATTGTGATTTGATATTTTGACAAAATAAATATCTCTTTTTAAAATTCCATCTTAAATATTCTATTAGTTTTGTATTCTTCTACACGATGATATAATAAATTTTACAAAAAAATTGGATACTCACACTATTGTCATGATCTTGTCTTTCATGAGCCATTTCTTCCTTTTGCTCAGTTGTAATAGAAAAATTATAATGTTTTTTACAACTTCCTTCTTTCTCTTTAGTAGCAATTACTTTCTAAATTCATGTTTTCAGGTTTACATCCCAGAAGCATTTGTCATGACAGGATGTAACTGCTGCCCAAATTCTCATTACAATATTTCATCTCCCACATATTCAACCATTCCTCAACATTTGATATTTCAACCTGATATTAAAATGCATTGAATTCATTTCAATAAAATTTTAATAAAAAGAATAACAGATTCATAAACACCAACAGTACAAATTTCACCAAAGTCAATAAAAAATATAAATGTATACTTATTAAAAATATATACATTGTTAAAATCATAACAATGTCTCAAACACATCAACAACTGCCAAAATTCATATTGTTATAATTTTTTGTAAGTTTTTTCAATTTAATTAAATAGCAATGGAGTAGTTAAATTTTTTCTTTAAATTAGGCACTTTTATCATGACAAGAAAGAATTGTTATTTTGAATGTTTTCTCCCAATGAATTTCAACTCTGATTAGTTCTTCTAGAATGTCAGCTCTGTTTCACTGAAACTCATGAATTTTGTTGTACTTCACAATTGTTACTAACCCTGCACAATTAAACAATATATCAAATAGGTGTGTCAAACATGGATGTTTTACATGTTCAAAAACTTGAAGTTGGTGTAGTACTTGACAGAAATTGACTTCCACAGCACAACGAATTACCTCCAAGACATCAACTAAGCAATTTTCCATAAAAACAAACACTTATTTTAACCAGGGCACTATCTGGCCACTCTTCATGCCACTTGATCAAAATATTTAAAGTTATTCTCATATAACATCATTTAATGATTAAAATAAACACTTTCATCCCATTTTCTTTGCATTGCTCACGCATTAATACTTTCACAATAAACACTAATATCCAAGTTCATTATGGGATTGTAGTACAAAATTTTTTGTTTTGTTTTGACAATACGGAAGGAGAATTACTCAAGAACAAATATACAACTTACATCAATTTTTTATTTTGAATCGTTCACAAATCACACAATACAAAGTCTTGCGTAATATAACAAGAGAAAAGAAATTAGATTATTTTTATTGTTTGGCTTTATTAGGAACAACTTCATCAATCCAGTTCAAGTATGGTTTGTTACCAGCTGTAATCGGTACTGCAATAACTTCACACACTTCATAAGGATGATTGGCTTTCACATATGCAGTGAGATCCTCTATGCGAGAAGTTCTTGTTTTTATCATCAGTAGTAGTTCGCTATCCTCATTTATTTCACCTTTCCACATATACACAGATGTTATTTTTGGAATTATATTCACACATGCAGCCAGTTGTTCTTTGACCAGACCATGAGCAATCTTTTTCGCGACTTCATCATTGGGCACTGTCACATAAACTGCATTATGATGATCAGGTGGACTGGGTTCTGGGCTTGTCATTGTGAGAGTCAATAAGTATACGCCCAATAATCCAAGAAATACTGAAATATATCGCATCATTTTAACCTGAATCAATAAAAACCTCAGCACTATCCAATTTATACAAATTCTATAGTTTACAGATATGTAGAAATATTACACTAAAATATTAAACTTACATTAAGTCCAATAATTTCTTCTCGCAAGCGTAATAGTCGTTCAAACTCCACTAAACCAATGGCACGGCCACAAAATTCTAATGACAATTATTTCATGCTTTTGTCGTTAGACGTTCTTTCTAACCTTAATTACCAAAATACTTTGGCACTCGACCAGCTTAACAATTCAGCAATGCATCACCTGCTCGGCAGGCTCTCCTCGAATTGGTTTAAGGACAACATGCCTGTAGCGCCACATACCTTCTCAAATAAGTTCAATCCACAACTCATAGAGGGCGCTAAATGCACTATTTCTAGTCTACATTGTTAAGGTACGATTACAACACTTCCTCTTCTTACGAGGTAAAGCGAGAAAATAAAACTCGAATGCAGTAAGAATGAAATATTTTTCTTCAACAATGGCATTTTAGAAATTAATAGTTATATTTTTGCAATTTTTGAAAACTCATGAAAAGCGTACTTCTGCTATGTAATGGCTCAAGAATGAGCCGCGGTATGCTGTTGCAACATTTCATGGATTACAAGCGAAAGTAAAGCAATTTATGGAAAATACAAACACAATGTAGGCACAGTAAAGCTTACAAAATCCTTTAGAAATGTACTTTATACTAAACAACTATATAACAAAACTCCTGATAAGATAGCTCAGGTCAACGGTTGCCATTGCAACGTCTCTGACCAGAAGGTTGTATGGTTCGAGTCACGACAGTGGTGATTTCCGACACTAGCTAGAAAGCTAGGTTGAATTCAGCCGATGTCTGGAGGAAACGTCTAGCTGCGGGTTACTCTGATCAATCGATTGGTAATTTTCCGTGGTTTCTCCCATCAAGACCCAGGGGAGTGTCGGAACAGTACACTGACAAACGGGCCATGCCTCGACGCAATATTCCGTTTCTTATCCTTGTCCCCTTACACACACACACACACACACACACACACACACACACACACACACACACACACTTATACTCGTACAACAATCAGATCAAAAATAAAATGGCGCTTTTACCCCTTGTATCATAACTATTTCTTTTATCTGGGCAAATGTGCGGTAGTATTTTCATTTGTTTCTTTTCAATTCTGTTATTGTTTATTCATAATGCTTGTAATAATATAGTATTCTATAGTATTAATTTGGCATATCTACAAGCAAATACTAAAGTTGCAATTATGCAGGTGTACTGTTTATTACTTTCTGTAATTCAAAATTGTTATTACTAATGAAATTACGAAATTGTTTAGTATCAATATGCTCAATAAATACTAGATTTTACTACCCTAATTTGACTTTTTTCTTCCATAAAATCCTTATAATTATTATTGTGAATTTTTTAATAAATTAAGGCGTGGAAAGTATGGGTGTGAAATTTTAAAGTTCCCGCGTCGCTGGTTTATTTCAAATTTACCGGTTACTTCTCCGCTATTGGCTGTCCGTTCACTCAATAGAAATTATACTGAACAATATGGCGGCACCGGAAGTTGGGCAAATAAGGCTTTTCCTTTTAACATTGAGTGCCGTCTCTGATATATACTCTTTGTACAACACTGCGAGTACGACTCATCGGGAGTTTAGAGTTTGACCCGGCTGGGGCAGGGCCACGCTGGAGGAGATGCAAACTCTCACTGCAGTGCGGAGGGAGCACACCACCACTTCCTGGAAAATAACATGCACTTTCCTTACGGGACTAAAAATTGCCCGAGTTGTGCGTGACATTCGTCCATCCATACCAACATCATAGTAAAATCCCCTTTCTTATCTCAGAAAACCCCACAATAGATTTTGTCACCAAAATATTGACTTCGAAATTTGGATAGAAACAAATATACTCAATGTCACATACAGCAGAAAAAAATTTAGTTGACCTATTTACTCAAAAACACAGTAAAAACTGTTTGTTACGTATGGGGCACGTTTTCTCGAGCTTCAAAATCCCTTCCCAACGTTTTAACTACAGATAGTTGAAAAATGAATAGAATGAATAAATTTGCTGAATAGATCAAGAAAAGCAGAACAAAAACCTGACCGAGCTGGGGGTAATTGATTCGGATCCTGAAGTACATGACAGCAGAAAAGATTTTACTTCTAACTTAAAATTGTATACTGATTTTAATTGTTTAGTGTCACCTGGCAATGCGTTGTAAACTAAGGTACATGTATTGTAAGTGGATTTCTTGTAGTGAGCTGTTGATACTGACACTTGAACATGATTTCTACGACGTGTGTTGTGATTATAAATATTATTGCATGAAAACATATTCCCACCGTTAAGTAAGTCAGTTTTGACAAAAATTACTGTTTCGCAAAATAAATAGGAAATGCAATGGTAAAATTAAAATTGTTGAAGCACAGTTGACAAAAAACAGGTGTAGAATCGCAAACGCTTACATTAACAACATTTATCGTCATACATCGTCCAATATTCAGCCTACAAGATTCGATTGCACACAATTAGTGTAACGATGTACGGCCTGGATCTCGTCGTTATCAAGACACACGGCGCGAACACTTCTAATAAGGTTGACCGACAGAGATAATACAATGTATCAATGACACTGTCACCAAATACTGTAGAGACAATTCAGGACACTCGGCGTATAACGGGAGACACTTGTGACTAGAGACGCTAGTGGCCTGAACTATCATAACCATGGTGATATCAAGTACGAATTGTATACGTTTGAAAGACTTTTAGTTGTTTTAGATTATGTTTACTTACATTTCGCATTTTCGCCTTTTGAATTAGTCGTCGATTTTCCAGGTCACGTCAGTAGATTCGCTAGTGAGCAGTTGTCTCTCATTAAAATTATGAGAGAGATTCAAAGTATCCTGTATGGTCTACATAGTATTTGCTGTCAGTGTGTCTGACCGTGAGGTACTTCGGCTCGAGTCCCGACTGCGGGAGGATTATCGACACTACCCAGATAGCTAGGTCGAATGAATTCGCTGTATGGAGGAAAATTCTAGTGGGTGGCTGCTCTGATCGATATTTTACCGTGGTTTCTCTGATCAACACCAGGCGAATGCCCGTGCAGTGTCCTAATAAAGGCGCATCGGACTGCTTGCGAACTGTCCTTCCTCTTTCTTGCCCTATCCGCATTTCATATGCACATTTAGGCTATATTCACTCTGGCGTCGAATGGTGGACGGGTGAATGGTTTTTTGAGAGTCACAGTTACAACGTGGCGCATTGATGGTCCCCTTATGAAGGAAATCAAAGTGAACCACAATTTTCGCCTCCCAAAACACTGTAACCATAACTTTTTTCTGCAGGGTATGCCACTTTAAATTTTTCTTCACTGGTAAACTGAGATGCTTCCATTCAGGTGGCCTTGGTTTCTGGGATGAAGTGGCGCATTCATAGCTCATCGCTAGTAATGATTCTGCACGGGAACCCATTTTCCTTTCGCGCGTACTACGTCATGGGATTGAGGACGGTCCCACTGTCTTAATCTTGTTATTCGGGTTCAGGTTTATCGGCACCCATCTGGCATCTTGTACTAGGTATCTCCCACCAGCGGGACATCGCCCCAACTACTGTAATCTCCCGTCATGTGTGGTATACGTTTAAATGTGTGTGTAGTAAGTAGTGATAATAAAAGAAGGAAGAAAGATCGCGCTCGGTCCGTGGCTCGTTTAATTGGGGTATTCCTCCGACATTCTCCTGTGGTTGATCGGAGAAACCACCAAAAACTACCGATCAGAGCAGCTGGCCGTTAGAATTCTCCTCCAGACAGCGGCTGAATTCGACCTAGCTATTAAGAAAGTGTCCAAACTCTTGCCATTGTAGGGACTAGAACCCTAGAACCTCAGGTTACGACAGCGACATCAACTGATGCCCTGAGTCAGCGAAGTGGTTGATCGACTTATGAAGTAAAAGGAGTTTCATTCGAATATGTTTCTGCTGGATAACGAAAGATTTGGTCGACCACATAAGGCTGTGTATTACTACAGTGCGATTTTTATAAAGCTGTCTCTCAAGATCCGTCTTCACAGTGGCATTATATCACTGCATTTCGCGTCTTTCTCGGTTATGCTACTACATGTCGCATGACTCGATACGATCTAGATGATCTCGACGATCTCACGCATAATCAAACAGTGCTTGATATGCGACATCTAGCGTCACGACGGAGAAAGACTCGAAATGCAATAACATAATGTCACTGAGACCACTTGAGGCAGCTTTATATAAATCGCACTATAATGAATAGTGATTGTAGAATTTAGCAATTTTAATTCAACTTCTGCAGCGCTGCACTAAGGGCCCCTTCCGACGTCGCCACTGCAAGTGTAGTGCACGTTTTACTTCTCGGGAGGGGGCGGTGACCTTCCCCAGCTGGATGGTGTGATCTGGCGCCGTCAAGCCAACCTGTCTGCTGGTGTGGGTTTTCCACAACCAGGTATCTCCCACTAGCCTCGCACCGACATATCCGACACAAGCTGTAAGCCCCCGAACGGTCTCTCTGCATGTGTGGTAGTGTAGTGCATGTAAGTGTAAGTGCTAGTGTAGTGTATAAAAGTGTAAGTAAAGGGGGAGGATAGGACAAGGAAAGGGAGTAGTAGTAGATCGCGCGCATTCCGTGGCCCGTTTGTTAGGATATTGCTCCAGCTACTTCACCTGGTAATGATCCTAGAAACCACGGAAAACTACCGATCAGACCAGTTAGCCACATAGCTATCCAGCTGATGCCGAAAATCCAGCAACCGTCGTGTCTCGAACCTCCCGGTCAGAGGCACTGCAGTGACATCGGTTGATACCCTAAGCCACATCTTCCGATCTCTACACGTCGGCTTGCTAGGGTTTCCCTAATGAGGTATCTCCCAAAAGCGGGACACCTCGCCAGCCGGAAAACGCACTAAGTTCTCGATTGGTCTCCCGTCAAGCGTGGTAGTGTAGTGCTCGCAAGTGTTTATAAGTAAAGGGTTGTGGATACGACAAGAAAGAGAAAGCATCCGTGGCTCGTTGGTTAAAGGACTGCTCCGAAGTTCTCCATATCGGAAAAACAATGGAAAACTAACGATTAGAACAGTCAAACGCTAAAAAATCTCCTCCAGACAGCTGCTGGATTCGACATAGCTATCTAGCTAGTCTCAAATATCCGTCACTGTCGATATTCGAACACTAAGACCTCCCTGTCTGGAAGATAATTCTTACGGCCGGCTGCGATTATTAGTTTCTCGTGGTTTCTTCAACCAACGCGAGGCGAGGATA